CGGACATAGTTTATAGAACATAAAAGCTGGCTCAAGGTGGGAGGGAGTGGAGGTGAATGTTACCAAGAAACACCAACTTTGACCCAGGAAAGCAGCGTTCGAGACCAACAAACAACATCAATTGCTGTGTTTGTGCCACTCCAAGCCAGGTCTTTCCTTGCCCCATTCGTGGCACTCAAAGCCGGGTGTTTTTTGGCGAAATCCGCAATCTTTTCCTAACCGTAACCAAGTAGTTTTGTTGCCTTAACCTAGCTGTCGAACCCTTTGTGAGTTGCCTCATGTGACTTGTGTCAACTACAACCTTTTCCTAACCATAACCAAGTACTTTTGCCGACCCCTTCTTACCCCCTACGCCTTCTGCATCAAGATTGTGCCCAAGTGGCAAAGTATGACAAGTTGGGAACACGTCACGTTGAGAAATGACAAATACAGCTCCATTGACCAAAGACACATACAATCAGAAATCAACTCAACTTGCTTTGGGAGTTTGGAGTAATCATTTGCAAAGATGTCAACAGGTCAAAAGTGTGTGACTATGAAGCCAGTGTTGGACTCCAAAACATGTTTCTGGCAAACTTGCTCTCATTCTTGTCATTTTCCATTATTACAGCTGTTCTGTTCTGCAGCCTTTTTAATGTTAGCTAGTGTTTCAATCAGTACTACTCCGTGGAGGTTTTTGAGCGTTGTCAAGCTAAAACAGGGTGTTAAGTTGCTCTTTAGTGTCGGCTGTCAGGAAAACAGCTCAGCGATGGCAGTCATCATCACCTTTACCTCAGCAGCTTGGCTTTCACCACGCGCCACCTCCTAATGAGCCTTGCTGCTTTGCTTTATCTCTTGAGCCAGTTGTCTCAGCCCCTCCTCGTCCCGTGGCTTCAACAATAGCAGCGTGGCCTTTAGCTATAAAAGAGGCTTCCTTGTTCTGCTTTTCTAGCAGCAACACATGCCCCTCCTCTCTCCCCTGTAGTGCCAGCCTTTGAGGCAAATGTCAGCTAATTAAAGGTTACATGGTCGACCTTTCTCACCCCCTGCTGGGCCCGCGCCACTCGATCCGCCAAAGCACCCCCAGAGCCGAGCGTCATGCTACAGGTTGTCTGTGAGATTGTGCCGCAGAAACACACACACATGCACATGACAGGACAGCATGGCTTTTGATATGCTAAATACTGCGAGCCTCCTACAGGGCAGTAGACTCAATTAGATGAGACACTTGGTGTCTAACACTGAGGATGCTCGATGACTTGGCTGTCAGCTGAGACACGATGTGTGTTACTGTGATACTGTCTCCATACTGTTGTGATTTAGCAAAACACATGAATGTCCTCTGGAATGCCACAATGTCCTTTGATTGTTACTGCTGCTACTACTGCCAATTCTTTTCCCTCAAAATCTGCTTGAAGGTCATTTCCTGTAAAATGTAACTGGCCCTCCCTCCTCTACTTGGCTGAATGTTTTAGATGTCATTCTGTAACACTGACGTCAGTTTCAGGGTGTGGTAATTCTCAAAAAGAGTGCTGCATTTGATCATCTTGCACAAGTGGAACATTTGAGAAGGGCGCTGAATATTGAATATCGTCTCTCCAGTTCAAAGCATCTTTAGAGCTGTGGGAATATGTTCCAGAGACGAGAGAACAGAGAGAAGCCGAGAACACACTGTGCCCTTCTACTCTTTTAGTCTGCAGCTACACACATGCATTAAGAGACGGACTGTTCGGATTCAAAAACAACTATCATATGTCTGAAAAGAGGGTTGTAATTATCAGAATCTGATACTATGCAGTACTTTAAGTGTGTGTGGTGATGCGTGCCTGTCCGTGTGTCTGTGTGTAAATGGGCAGCAGTGGGGACCAAAAAAGTGAAGTGCAAAAAAAGGATGTAAGCACATATGTTATTAGGAAAAGTCTGAGTGACACAGACAGTGTTATGAAAGAGAGTGTCAAGGACGGATAAAGATCAGCTAAAATGAGAAGATAATAATTTTGCTTTGAATTAAAATAAATGGCCAGAAGGGATGCCATCGGGCACTAAGACATTCTTTGAAGTGGCTGCTTGTCATCGGGGACCTTGGTGCTTACTGATGCCTTTATGTCACTGTAATCATCTTGGAATTCACAGTCTGTGTTGCTCTGACATCTGTTGTTAAAATGTATTCTCTCTATTAATCCACTTTGAAAGGTTCCAGTACTTTGCAGAGTGTTTAATAGACCATACTGAGTGCATAACTCTCACAGGAAGAAGGGGAGATTCTGAAAGAAGAGCATTTAACAACAAATGTGTGTCATCAAAACAACAAAAACGACACAAGTAGATGGACTTAAAATGGTAAATGTCACTCTATTGCAAATTTACAGAAAAACACTGCATTAAAGCATAGTATGGGCTGACTAATGGCTCATTTTCCTGACTAAAACATTTTCTAGGATAGCAAATTAATGCGGTTTCTATGAAAATATAAAATTGCAGTAACAAGCCTGTATACACTGTACCCAATAGGGTATAACTTTGCCTGTGGGTTACAGTATTTATGTACTCTATTTCCCTCATAAAGTCTAACTACAGCAGTTTAAACTTTTAAAGTCTTAAGACCAGATCCAATACATCTTTTAGTGTACAGGTAGTTCTCTGCTTCCGAGAACATATTCGGCTTCCAGAACAAATGGCAGTATCTGTGTTGCTTCAGGATGCCATTTGGATTTATGTGATGTCAAAGCAGAAGAAAAAAATGGTGCAGAGAAACAAGCATCTGCTTAAAAACGGGAGAAAAACAGAAAACACAAAGGATGATGAGAAACAAGCAGAAGCTGTGACTTTAGTTAGAGCTTCAGTCAACACCTGTTCCTCTACTCAGATGTCTCAGCTACTCCCACGGCTTAACCTGCTGTCCAATCTTATTTCCATTTATTTTCGTCACACACCTGGTACACAGTGGTGCAACGGAGGGCCATTTTCAAGTTTCGATCCAGGATATGATGTTTCAGTTGCTGTTATTTACTGAAGTGGAATGACTCAAAACAACAGTGAGTCAGCCTACTTGTGTATTCACCTCCTGGAAGCTTTTTTTATTTGATGATCTCTGTGCACAGTTTTGGGTATCATTCTGTTCTGTTTTAAGACTTCAGCAGCAGAAAAAGTGGTTTGTGTCGTATAAGTAAAAGAACTGGGTAACTGATATGAGCAACAACACCTCCCTGGCAGGACAAAGAGGAGATTGCCACCTACAGAAACTCAAGCGTCATCAGCAATAATTAAGACATCAGAGTACCACCCACACGGTTTTATTTACAGGTGGACTGTGGGAAGTGCGCTGCTCAATCACCAAGTGCCTATTACTTCAGATTTTAAAATGAACCAAAATCAAGGACCTTGTAGATTACAACTCTAAAGGACAGTTTTAACAATGTACCTCATGAGACCAAATGTGTGATGATGTAATGAGACTGGGGAGTCTAGTGGTGTCATCTTAGTCTACACTGTGGTGCTGTTTTAAATAATTCCATGGACCGGTCTTTTGGGTTAACTCTGATTCATCAGAATCAGTGTCCGGTTTAATGCCAAGTAGGTTTTCACATACAAGAATTTGCTTTTAAATTTTGGTGCATAGACAAAAAACCTAAATACAGAATAGAAGAAATTACAATATAAATACTTCAAAATACTATTTAAAGCCACAAGCAGCAATGAACAGGCCCAGGCACCATGACGTAACCTGGGGTTACTGGGGGGGATGTTGAATGATGCGGCTGTTTATTTCCAAACCCTGCAACAAGGAGTAAGACGTTTTCTCTTGCGTGGAGTGGGGGCACCAGAAACAACCAATTGCTAATTTCATACTACTTCCTGTGTCCACTATGTGGCGCTAGTGAACAAACAGTTATCATAAGTCAAGTTGCTGTACATTGATTGGAGACCACACCATGTAAATTTCATGTAAATCAAATGATACCGTCATACAAGGCTTACTTCCTTGGGATTGGGGTCTGGGACAAGGTCCTGGATAAGGGTCCTGGAAGCATACAGGTCCAGGACGGATAGCAGATCGCAGACAATCACCTTCTCCGCAGAGCAAATCATTTGGTGCAGTCTGCGTGTCACTGGCAGTGGCAGCAGCGAAAAAAAATTCAATCTAACATTGGTCAACGTGTCACAGACGTCACAGAGCTGTGTTTACTGATTGGCAGCAGGTATTCTCTGAACTATTCTTTCACAGTTAAGCGGGAGCATTTCGCTGCAGAATCAAATGGCAGCAGCTTGCTTAGCTCAGAGTAGCAGCCACAGCTTTACATAGACGTATACTGTAGCTGCTGGCCGCAGGCTGCACTTCACTGCTGCTCAGTGTGTTTTCGTCATAAGCATGTTGTTCTTCCGTGCATCAAAGTATTCAAAAAACAACTTATGAGTATTTTATGATCTGTCTTCACTTGGTGAAGTTAAGCAAACTAAAACTGTACATCTCTTGCCTCCTACTTTAAATAATGGGGCTGAAAAGCCATGTCTCCAGTGTCAAAGTTGTCTTCAAAGCTTGGTGTTTAACAAATAACCATATCAGTATTTAATACACGCTGACAAAGCACTGCAATGTAGCCTCACACTCTTTAGTTTCTAATCTGTTTTGAGTCATGAGAAAATGTATCAAAGATAGCACAGGGCTTCTCGGCATTGGATTACCAAGGTTTAAGCTTGATACATATCAACAACGCTCAGGTGTTTGGTGTTAATAAATGATACTAAACTTGTTTTTTCATAGTCTTTACATATTTTATATTGTTGCACTGGCACCGACTGTATTTTCCTTAAAGCCAGATTTAGCAAATCCCACCACACTTGTTCTCCAAACAATACTGCAAATTAGAATTTTAAATATTTGCACAGATATAATGCAAATACAATCTGATCCTGATTTTACTGACGACACAAAAACACATTCAAAATAACAACAGAAAAAAAAAAACCAAGACAAATCCCACATACTAATCCGGGTGTACTGTTTGTGCTTTCCCTTCCAGAGACATCAAACCTGACAACATACTACTGGATGAACACGGTAAGATTCTCTCTGTAATAATATTTTCAGTTACTTGATATTTAGGTGAGGGGTGAAATTTAAAGTTTTTGTTATGTTTACATATTGTCGTAACATTTGACTAACTCACATGTTGACCTGACTTGACTTGGCGTCCCAAATTCAAGACTTAGCAGCCTCTGACTAAGGCTTTTACCGATCCTCCAACCTCTGGGATCACTTCTTCACAGATCAAAAGGAGCTGCAATGCTCTGAGGCGGGTTTCACAGTTGTTGCCTAGATAGGCCTCGCAGCATAAAGATGGAAAGTACCTCATACCTTATTTTAACAAATGCAACGAATGCGCCCGTGTATTATTTTCTGTGCATACTGTCAGTCTGCATCGGTTGAAGCACTGTGACATTTACATGGTGTTCTGTTTCTCTGAAATACGGGATGAAATGAGACAGAGTGATGTCATAGGAGTGTGGAGGACAGAGTAATATTGATGATGCCTCCCTCCTCTGCTGTGAGGGGAAAATCCTGCTCTGAATGATTGATTAAGTCTCATCATAGGCTTCAGTGTCATTGTCAGCACACACACACACACACACACACACACACACACACACACACACACACACAATGACAAAAAAGACAGAGCAATGTGTGTGTACATATCAGAGGGAGGGGTACCATTGTAAATCAATGCGGCATAAAGAGAAACTGTGAATTCCTTCATCAATATGTTAATTAAGAGGGATTTTAAAGTACTATATGTTATGATCCATCCTTGAGAAACACGCAGACATCCTAGAGAAAATGGTACAGTGTGCACGCTAAAGTATGTATGAACAATAAATACTATCAACAGAACTCTCTCTGTGGACCTCCATGCACAACTTAACTGGTTAATTAAAGGAGTCTATGCTGTTCTCTCTGGCAACCTTACAAAGACAAAAAAACTCCAGGACATTATTGCGTTACTGAGTCTCTGCCAAGAAACAGTCCAGCATGTAACAAGATTGACTTTATGCAAACCAGCTACTCCAGTGTTTGTCATTATGATATGTTCTGATAAATGATAAAGACGCTTACATCAGCAACCTTCATGTGCTAAATCCAACTTGTAAGGCAGTAATAACACAACATAATATTATGCTTGTTAATAAATGGACAGTGGGAGCCACTAGTGTCTAACCTCCCTCGTACAATTCACTGCCAAGCCAAGGTTGGCGTTGTGTCGGAGTCTGGTACCACATCAAATAGTGTTTCCTTTCTATTAAAATGTGTGTCGCCCACACCAGCAACATGAAGGAGATCAAATTTCACTAGAGGTGCGAAGGGGGAAGGATGCGCACAGTGAATGTTGTGTCTGTTTACCCGACAGTTCATGTGTTTTTTGGGGTGATGACAAGACACGTGGCAGTTAGTAACAAAAATAGAAACTGAAAAAGCACTCAGAGAGTGCAGACCTCCGCCAAGTAGGTGATATTCCCTCCCCTTCTGCATCAGATTTTGCAGCCTGCATCACAATTAGGTTATTTGCATCACTATCATTATTAGGTTATATATGCCTTCGCCATGGAGACACTGTGGTGTATTTATTTCGTTTTTATTTTGTACCAACACAAAATATAATGTTTTTTTGTATTTTTCACTTTCTTTTTTCCAACACAGAACATTAATTTCAACTTTAGAATTACAACAGTATTTAGCAAGTAGAACAAGACGTGCTGTCCGGCCACCAGATGGCGCTATTTTCACCGTCTTTAGAAATTGGAATTGCTGCTGAGGCTGTCAGACGATAGAATTTATTTATTATTTTATCCACTTTGCTTCAACCGATCACCACCAAAATTTTATCATCTGTTCCTTGTCCCATTATCCAAAAAAATTCATCAAAATCCATTAATAACTTTTTGAGTTATTTTGCAGACAAACAAACAGACCAATGCCGGCAAAAACATAACCTTCTTGGCGGAGGTAATAAAGACATTTTGTGTCAGTTGTCCTGCTCAAGGCCCCAGGAACAGTGCTAGGTTTTGAAGCAAATTTTAAATAGTGGCCAACTGTGGAATTATAACGTCCAAGTCCATCATGTGATGCCATGGGGCCTGAAAAAACCTTTTTCTTATTGTGAAAGAGATGTCTGATAATCCGTGATACATGTTTTTTGAGCATCGCAACCCCCGCAAAATAAGTCGTTTTACTATGGGAATTTGATTCATTCGGTCTATTAACATTTTGAAAGTCTAGAAAATCTGCATGATTAAATCATTTTTATCCCCATTCAAGTAAGCCGAGGGCTAAACCTGAAGTTAGCCGCTTGGCCACGGTAAGTCTCTAGTGCGCTTGTTCTATTGGCGCCCCAATGCTTAAGATTTGGGTAATTTCATATCATGGAAATTGGAAATTCGAAGAAGAAAGCAACCTTCATAGAAAAGAACGGGGCCCCACTTCCAACGCTATATCCAGTTCTCTTTATACATCCATTACTCTCTGCTTCTTCTTCGTATTTAGTCTTTTTTAGTGGTTGGCAAACCACCGCCAAGTGGACTGGAGTTCCAACACTAATTTATGGGCTCTCACTCTGATTATGTTACTTGTGGAAGTGGCTGCTAAGTCAATTGTGACACCTAATGGTAAAATTCAGTATACCAGTCTGGTGGTTGGTTTAACATCAAACTGGTATGACGATTTTTACACTGGCCCAGCCCTAACATGACGTGTTATTTAGTGAGCTACAGAGGTGCTGTAAGGCAGATTTTATTACCTTCAGGACAGCTGTTTCCCTGTGTTTCCAGTCTCTGTGCCAAGTGAGGCTGCTGGCTGCAGATTTATCTCATAGTGCATATATGAGAGTGCTGGTAATCTTCTCATCTAACTCTAGACCAAAAAAAAGGGAATAACTGTATTTCCATAAAATGTTGGACTGCTCCAATCACTACATACTTTATGAAGAACAAAATAGCCCCAGTTCTTAAATATGATGACGCATCAGCCTAATGTATGATTAAAACACTCCCTGGTCATTCTCCGTTGTCTTGCACAAAGGTACTTCACTGCAGTGCTGGCGACAGGAAGCTGACTCCACACATCAAATAAAGTATAGTGTCAGCTTGACAACAACTCCTCCAATAGCCTTGTTACACCCCCTCCTTCAAGGTGGAAAGCAGAGCGATGTATGACTCTTCTCAACGATCTCGTCTTCTTCTCTTTACACCAAAATCCAGTCAAAACCAGTTACCAACAAACGTATATCAAGAAAGTGAGACATCCCAAGGTCTACAACTCTTTACAAGTGGACAATCTGAACCTTCTCTCATGTCAAGGTCACTGTTCAACAGATGGTTTAACAGTGATTCAGCAATTTACATATACATTTCAGTCATTTTCTACCGCAGGTTATGTACTGAAATTGACTAAGCATAAGAATCAAAAATCAGAAAATGTTAGAATATCATCATGTTTTGTAGTAATTTTGTTTATGTACTGATTAAACTGCAATGTATATTTAATACTGTGATATTAGAGTCCATGAATAATCAACTAACTAGCCATACTATAACATTCACATTTCCCTCAGTTAAGCAGTTTAGACTTAACCATGAAAAACAGCTAGAGACAAGAAGTGTCCAGGAACACAAACAAACAAGCACACACACCCATAAAAGTCCTGAGATCTTGGAGGGCACTGGGCAGCTGCACAAGGTAGATGTGGGATGGCAGCCCTGCTGTCGCTACAGACTGGAAGCAGACAAAGAGCGACAGACAGAAAGAGAGGGACAGAAAGAGAGAGGTGAAATGGAAGACAGAGCCAGACAAACAGGGAGAGCCACAAGGATACGACAAGAAGGAGGAAAGTGATGAGCACACATTTCTGGGGAAAAAAGATTTGTCAAAGGAGGAAAAACAGGGTAGTCAGAGAAAGGAGATACGTGGAGAAGAGAGATAAAGAGGGAAGAGGAAGAGAATGACAGCTTTGTCAGCCTCATCCTGATTTCCACAGGACAACCAGTGTTCACCTGTGCTTCCTCTCTCTCTCTGTGTGTGTGTGTCCTTTCAAACTCAATAAGCACTTCTCTCCTCCTCATGCATTCTGCCCACACTCTGTTTCTTTTTTTCCTGTGCAAACCTGTAGTTTACCTCTCCACTGACGTCTAACACAAATTGGGGGGCAGCAAGCTGTTTGCCTTTGCACGCCACGTCACTTTTGCAAGCTGGAATTGACCCGTTGCGTCTGTGTTCCTGTGGGAGCTGCTTCACAGAGAGAAAAACAATTTACTCACGCACGTGCAATGTCGCTTTGTTAAATAAAATAGCCCCAGGATGCTGAGAGAAGCTCCAAGAGGTTATCAACGGTGCGCACGCACACATGCTTGGCGATATCGTGAGGGAAACCACAGCTCTCTCCTCCGCTTCCAAACAAATACAAAGAAGTGATGGTGCATATGTTTGTCACATCAACACCCATGGGACGCTTTGCAAAAGTTTAGCATGTGATCTTCCTTGACAAGAAGGACCTGGAAGAGTTTTCGGAGCAAATCAGTGAGTCAACACTGGAAATTCATAGGCACAATACACGCCTGGAGGCTGACGTGGTTTTAACAAGGCACTGGGATGTTTCAGAGTGTTGAACTCCTGCTGTGGCTTTGAGTTAGGTTACTTAAAGCTTCGATATAAAGTTCATGAAAAAGTTTTCAAAAGATTCAGCATTCGTACTTAAATGTCCCACAGAAATCCAGGATGGGGCCATCAGTAGCATCCTTTGTGTATGCATACTCACTGTATATATGTTACATATTTGCCATATTTGTCATCAGTGGTGGGCGTGTTATGAGGTAGTGGTAAGCAAAGAGACATTAAAAATAGAAGAGATATGCAGCCGCGTGATATAACCTAAGGATCAAACCCCGACAGTTGTGGAGGTAATCCCAGTAAAACACATTAGATAACTAAGCCACCAGGCAACCTGCTCACAGGCAGGAAACACTTTGACTGGAGACAAACAGGGGTCAATCTCATGTAGTGACCATTCATTTATTTGAACTAAAGGGAATGCTGCCACTCTGACCTCCATGTTTTATTTTACCAAATTTAAATTTGACGTGTACTCTGTTCACTTAGCTCACATGCATGATCAGAGTAAGTGAAGTGGCCTACTCACAAACAGAGCAGTAGCAGACCTACAGACCTGTCCAGACCCATATGTAGCCATGACTGTTGACAATGCTTCAAATACAGATTTTGCAGCAAAGAAGCTACATATTCTAAAACATGGATGCCTCATACACATCTTGAACCGGACAGTGCAGAAGATCAGATTCAAGATGAACCCCAGGATTAGTGTCACTGGTTCAGTATCCAACCAAATGTCTCCCATTCTGTTCCGAGTTTCGATGTAAAATAATGGTTGGAAAAAGTGTTTTTGCAGAACATTGTGATGTCACTGTAAAGCTGACCTTTTGCAATAAGATGTCATCACTTCATCAATTCGTCCTATCAGACATTTGTGTGAAATTTTGTCATGACTAGCTTATGAAATCTTGAGTTATGGTCACAGTGACCTTGACCTTTGACCACCAAATTCTCATCATTCTTGAGTCAGAGTGGACATTTGTGCCAAATTTGAAGAAATCCCCTCGAGGTGTTATTGAGATAACGTGTTCATGAGAATGGGATGGACGGAAAGACGGATGGATGGATGGATGGCCAGACTAGAGGTGACTCGTGTACAAAAATCTCTAAACATTTAGAGTGGCTAATTTTTTTCGTGTAAACGTGTACAGGGGTTTCACAGCTGGGTGGTGCTATTGTATTAAACCAGTAAAGCCCCAGTTATCCAAATACCAACCGAACGGGCCATTTAACCAACGTTTTAATAGAAGAGCACGTAGGCTACTGACCTGTTGCCAAACCCGGTCTCACACCATTTCTTGTCATAATCACAGTTGTTACCGGCCAGCCCTTCGCTTTAAGACGGTGGCCATGTGAGTGTGACATAGTAGATGTTGTGGGAAGTAAAGCAGTGTATAGAGTGTATGGACGGGAATGCACCGTGAAAATAGTACAGTTCACGCTACAGGTGGTTGCAGTCTGTTTACAGTGTTTAGATAGGCTCCAGTTACAGCATAGTCTCTGTGAGAAGGCCCTGCATTATGTTATGTTATGTTATGTTTTCCTGCTGTAGAGGAGAAATAAATGTGCTTCTGCACGGACGTCAGTTCTGCATCCTCATTCTTCAAGCAGAGTTGGTCCGGACTTGTAGAGCTAGTTACCAGCAATGAGCCAAGTTGTAAAGATAATCTACAAAAAACCAGTGTCTTCAAACTACGGTTCAGAGTGCCAGACTGGAGAAGGTAACGCAGTCTAACACAGTTTGTCAACAATTAGTATCACCCCCCTCTCCCCTAAAAAAAAAAAAGTTTTTTGTGTACTAATTTTTCATAACCGTTTATGATCTCAAAACACGTGTACACAGACTCACCCCTAGGCCAGACAACCCGAAAACATAATGCCTCCAGCCAAGGCTGACGCCAGCACGAAGGCATAAAAAGCGAGTAAACGTTTTCAAGTTAGCCTTAAATTTAATACCCATGAGTCTAAAAGCTTTTGCTATTGGCCAAAAGCAGCTGCACGGCTGATTACACCTAAATGGGCCGGAGAGTTTTTTACTGAACAAGCAATGATCATCACTGCAATCCTTAGTGCAGTTTGAACTAATCTCAGAAAGACACTTTGGTTAAAATTTTTGCTACTAGCTGCTTTTGGCCCAGCAGCCCAACATTGTGATGATGGTTATCCGTTTCTTCCCGCCGGCTACTGTGTTAAACTCCTGTCCTAAATCTGTCTTCTGCAAAGCTGAGAGAGATGAAGACAGAAAAGGGGGGAAAAAAGGGGAGATAAGTATGTGACAGAGACAGTAGACATCATTAAATATGAAAACATGAAAGAAGCTCTACTCTTACTCAAGCTCCACTTAAAGTCTGACGTTTCCATCCTGCTGCACCTTCGTCACAGTCATCACACTGCATTAACAATGGTCCTCCTCTATCTGCAAAACACTATCAGATCTCTTCTCTGTGCATCACTACACAGCCACACTCATACACCACAGCTTTGAACACAGTATGTGAGCATATCTCAAGTGGTAAAGAACACAGAGGGGTAAAGACGTAAGAGCATGAAGTAGCAAGGAAAGATGTGGAGGAAAGAGAAGAATGAACCTGAATAATGAAGAGGACAGAGGAGGATATGGGAGCCATGAAGAAAAAAAGACTAGGAGTGGATAAATAAAAAGGGACACAGCAAGTAAAGGTGATAATGGAGAGTGATAAAAAAAAATGAGGGAGGAGGGAAAGAGGTACAAAAACAGGAGAGATTTTTCGCACAGTTCTCTTATCTTAAAGCTCAGTGTCTTGTATAAATAAACACTTTAGCTGGCCAGCTCCCGCCTGCTTTATATTCACACACAGTCGTCTGTTTGTGCGATAAAATATTCCACCTTTGGAAAAAAAACCTGTGTACAGTATGGTGATGCAGCTATTGTGTGTGGACTCACTGTATGTGTGTGAGGGGTTATTGGGGACATCCATTCATCCGAACAATCACTCTGCGGCAAAAACTCTCCGGCTCTGTCTCACCCAGTATGACACACACACACACACACACACACCTCACATACATCCAGCTCATTAGTGTGTGCTCAGTGTCCATGGCAAAGGCTCTGGGCCATTTTGCAGCACAGTGAGACACAGGTCAATGATTTGACTTTGCCTTTGACTTTGTAAATCACTGAGGTTGCCACTAAAAAACTCTCTCAGCTCAGTCTCAACATAATCATACATTTAACTCCATCAATAAAGCTGCCGTGAATTTGCATTTGATGTATTTTAATGATAGCAATGTAAGAGCGTAATGATCACAATGGATTATATTGCATGAGAAAATTTCTTTGATCCTCATTTTTGCATATCTAACATGCACACAAGCAGCATACAAAGTGGGATACCTGCTCCGTGTAAGCTGTGTTAAATGGAATTCTAACAGTAGAAGCCTAAACATTAAGGAGAAACAGTTTATACTGATGGTGTAAACAGATCTCTGTGACACGTTAGGATTTATGAGTTTCACACCAATGAGCATGCTCCATGTCTGTTTGACGTAAAATATATACTCTCTGTTCTACAGGGCACGTCCATCTAACAGACTTCAACATCGCAGCCATTGTAAAAGAAGATCTAAAGGCAACGTCCATTGCTGGGACCAAGCCATACATGGGTAAGAAAACATTTTTCCGCCAAAGCTTCACAAGAAACCTCTACCATTTGGGACATCAAACAGAAGCTAGAGTAAACTCTGATCTTTAATTCACAGAAATCATGAAACATAATTTATAGAAACTCCACAGAGCATCTTTATGCTAATCGAAACCCCCCAAAACACCAAAGGGATGTTAGAGACTGACTTTGGCAAAGCTTTCACTGGGCGAAGCATCCTCCCTTTGCTCTTTAGAAGGCAGTTAAAGTCTTGTTCATGCCAACACCAAACACATGCAGTGGAGAGATTTACTGCATTTGTTTCAAGATACAGATTATACACTGAACAAAAATGTAAATGCAACACTTTTGTTTTTGCTCACATTTTTCATGAGCTGAACTCAAAGATCTAAAACATTTTCTATACACACAAAAGACCATTTCTCACAAATATTGTTCACAAATCTGTCTAAATCTGTGTTAGTGAGCACTTCTCCTTTGCCGAGATAATCCATCCCACCTCACAGGTGTGGCATATCAAGATGCTGATTAGACAGCATGAATATTGCACAGGTGTGCCTTAGGCTGGCCACAATAAAAGGCCACTCTAAAATGTTCAGTTTTATCACACAGCACAATGCCACAGATGTTGCAAATTTTGAGGGAGCGTGCAACTGGCATGCTGACTGCAGGAATGTCCACCAGAGCTGTTGCCGTGAATTGAATGTTCATTTCTCTACCATAAGCCGTCTCCAAAGGCGTTTCAGACAATTTGGCAGTACATCCAACCGGTGTCACAACCGCAGACCACGTGTAACCACACCAGCCCAGGACCTCCACATCCAGCATGTTCACCTCCAAGATCGTCTGAGACCAGCCACCCGGACAGCTTCTGCTACAATCTGTTTGCATAACCAAAGAATTTCTGCACAAACTGTCAGAAACCGTCTCAGGGAAGCTCATCTGCATGCTCGTTGTCCTCATCGGGGTCTCAACCTGACTGCAGTTCTTCGTCGTAACCGACTTGAGTGGGCAAATGCTCACATTCGATAGCGTCTGGCACGTTGGAGAAGTGTTCTCTTCACGGATGAATCCCGGTTTTCACTGTTCAGGGCAGATGTGTGGGTGAGCAGTTTGCTGATGTCAACGTCGTGGATCGAGTGGCCCATGGTGGTGGTGGGGTTATGGTATGGGCAGGCGTATGTTATGGACAACGAACACAGGTACATTTTATTGATGGCATTTTGAATGCACAGAGATACCGTGACGAGATCCTGAGGCCCATTGTTGTGCCATTCATCCACGACCATCACCTCATGTTGCAGCATGATAATGCACGGCCCCATGTTGCAAGGATCTGTACGCAATTCCTGGAAGCTGAAAACATCCCAGTTCTTGCATGGCCAGCATACTCACCGGACATGTCACCTATTGAGCATGTTTGGGATGCTCTGGATCGGCGTATACGACAGCGTGTTCCAGTTCCTGCCAATATCCAGCAACTTCGCACAGCCATTGAAGAGGAGTGGACCAACATTCCACAGGCCACAATCAACAACCTGATCAACTCTATGCGAAGGAGATGTGTTGTACTGCGTGAGGCAAATGGTGGTCACACCAGATACTGACTGGTTTTCTGACCCCCCCCAATAAAGCAAAACTGAACATTTCAGAGTGGCCTTTTATTGTGGCCAGCCTAAGGCACACCTGTGCAATATTCATGCTGTCTAATCAGCATCTTGATATGCCACACCTGTGAGGTGGGATGGATTATCTCGGCAAAGGAGAAGTGCTCACTAACACAGATTTAGACAGATTTGTGAACAATATTTGGGAGAAATGGTCTTTTGTGTGTACAGAAAATGTTCAGCTCATGAAAAATGGGAGCAAACACAAAAGTGTTGCATTTATATTTTTGTTCAGTGTAATTCTGACATTAAACCCCATTTAGTTTATGTTTAAAAAGGAAGGAGAAGTAATTTTGAGATCTCGGAAGAAAAGCAGAAAATGCACTTTTACAATGTGGCAGTTAAGAGGTTCAATATCTTCACCCCTACAGCGAAGTTCACAGAGCTTGACTTTTGTCAATATTAGCTGCCCAAAGGCCAGGAACAAGATACAGCTAAAAATAAGTGGGTAGTTATTGACAAATAAATAAATGGTAGAGCTTTGTTGTGAGGTACATAGTGAAGGTTGACAGCTTACTTAAGAAGCATTTCAAGTAACAAACAATTAGCTATGACAAGCACAAAGTGGAGTTGTCTCCAAATTTCTAAAAGAACATGTAGTATATTCTTCTTAGTTTGATTTGGATGCATGAGCCCAAAACTTGAGAATATTGTTAAAATTTTAACAAAAGTAATGTTGCTCAGAAACCAACATTTACCCCCTCAGCACATCTCCAATCGTCCTCCGCATGACTCTTAAGTACAGCAGCGATCAGATCGATGTGGATTCAGCCCCTGAGAGAACAGATAGGATCTTAACAGGATTTCAGGGGGATGTGAATGACGAGACAGCACTTGTTTGGGTGCGCGTGCACCTGTTTTTATTCTTACAAAGTGTGTGCTCATGGTGGAAAATGATGTTGTAACCATGTGTGATTTCAGGCGAATACTCTGTGGTGTAATAGATAATTCATGGGTACACTGGGAAGAAAACACTGTCTCTTTCAGAGGCTTCAGGAGATAAACTTCACTTTTTTTTTCTGCTTCAGCGAGAGAGCAGAGCAAACCTACCATGACAGCGAGGAGAAGGGTGTGTGTGTGTGTGTGTGTGTGCATGCTCCTGAGTGTACAGTATGTTTCTTCCAGTCCAGCTTTTGACAGTTTGATACAGATAAAGAAGAAAGAAGTGATGAGTGATGGAAATTCATCTTGACCATTTCAAACGAGATTACAACTTAACAACCTTTTCCCTAGAACAGATTATTCACTTCCACAGGAGAGGGAAAAATGTAACTAACCAGTTTAAGGGCTAAATATCTTGTCCCACCCAGAAAACCTGTTCAGTCAATTATTCATTACAAACACATTATGATGCTATATTGGCTGCAAATTGGATCCCAATAATTAATACTCGCTTCTGGCAAAAAGAGTGGAGTTTACGTTGGGTTTTTTTTATTTTGTTTTATCCCAGATGTTTTCTGTTAAGAAGTTACAACGTATTGTACACGTATAAGGAACTTAAACAGCATAAGCTATATGTATTCACAAGCCCCTTTCAGACATGCAACCTGCTACATAACTGTGACTGCAATTTTATATGCTGGTCTCATGTCTGAATACGCACCCTCATTTTTTAGTGAGTTGCAACGGCGTTAACACTTCCATCATCCACAGTCTACCTCAATAATATTTTCAGCCATGACAACTGCATGGAAAATAAGCAGCATTAGGGGTGGGCGATACGGCACAAGATCTCCCATCATGGTATGAGTCATTTTATATAAATGATTAATTGGATTTTTTTTGAGGATTAAAAACACATTTAGCACTTCACTGCAGTCAGTCCCAGTGACAGTATGTATCATGATACAGTTACAGTTCTGTAAATTCTGCTAAGAAATACTCCATGTCAGCCCAATGTTACCTTGCGAGGCAGCCAGATTCGTGAGATCTCGCAAAAAAAAGAATCACACAAGAAGTGGCATTGTAGTAGCTCACCTGGTAAAGCATGTACCCCATGTGTAAGTTTGAGTCTGACCTGTTGCACTTTTGTTGCATCTCTCTTTCTATCCCCTTCCTTCCGAATAAAGGCAAAAAATGCCAAAAAAATCAAGCAAGAATCACAAGATCACGCAAGTGTCCAGGCCTGATTTCCTACATAGCCTGTCCCAAATAGTTCCAACTGTCGCATGGTACATACCGTCACATTGCCCAACACTAAGCAGCAGAATTCTCTATCTACTGAGTGATAAAATTGGTGAGAAAATTCATGAGGGCATGTGTTGATGATGGTCATTCATAAAGGCTTCAACAGCAAAATGAGTTTTAAAATCTCAATTCAGTGCTGAATATTTCTGCATCTCTCCTGCTATATCTGAAAGCCATTACGGAACATTAACATAACAACGGCTTATATTTGAATTACAATAAGACTGATGACTGTATGACTTAAACAGATAGTATGAAGCAAGCTATGTGATGTATGCCATGTCTAGAAAGAGCTATAGTTAGGTTCCTGACTAGAAAGTCCCTTGAAACAAGGAAAAGGGATCAAAATACACAAACATATACCAAAAATGTTAATGTCAAATCTAGGAAAGTGACATACATCCAATTAATCTTGTTGTACAATATTTTCTGTCTATCAGCTCCTGAGCTGTTCCAAACCTTCGAGGGGTCCCACCCTGGCTACTCCTTCTCGGTCGACTGGTGGTCGCTGGGCATCACAGCCTATGAGCTACTAAGAGGACAGGTAACGAACAGAGTACCATCTCCATGACCACACCTCAACTCACTTCCGCTTGGCCTGGCACACATTACTGTAGTGAATAATACATATGGCACCTAGACACGAGTGTGCAAGAAGAGTCCTGGTGGTAGGAAAGCAGACATACAGCACGTCCTCTGCCTTCGCAAAACAAGAAGGGGAGGAGGGGGGGACATAATTGGATTTTACATTTAAGCTGACCTTACTGAGGAAGATGTTTAAATGTTTAGTCACAGTGTGAGACGAATCGCTGCAGGAGAATGAGAAAATAGAATCGGAGTTATTTCAAGAGCCATATAATTGGAATTGATTTTTTTTAAATATTATTTATTTAATTTTATGCTGGTCCCATCTGGAGAAGTTTGTCATGGAAATAAACACAGGACATAATGGTTTCACTCAATCTCCCCGCTCTATCAGGCCGAGTCATAGAGCTGAGAGCAGTCTGTTCATCGTGGGCTCAAGTCAGACTGCAGCTGCAGAATTTCCTCTCATATTTCAAGGTTACACAAACTACAGTAACCTCTGACTACACTGACAAGGACCAAGAATACCTGACACTAATCTGGAGCTGTCATGAAGCGTTCCTGAAATCAATTCCTCTATTTAAACATCTTAGTGTTCTGCCTTTCATCCTTCGTCATAAAACTGTCGACGGTTATTTTAGCTGATAACTTTCCATTACTCTTTCTAAAATGCATTCTGCTACCTTTCTGACCTCAGTTACACTGTACGCCCACTGAAATATCTTTAGTGCTCAAACTATTTTACCTCAAACCCTCCTTGAACCTTTCTAAAACACGTTTTGTCCTCTCTCTGACCTCAAAGCTGCCGTGTATCTTACCTGCACCATTTACCTTAAGTCTCCTCACTGCCTTAAATCGAGTATACTTTTAACCTTCACTCATTCAGGAGGGATATGCTGAGCACACATTTACACACCCGCAAATTACTTTGAGTGACATAGATGTTTTTTGAAAGTTCCTGTGTAATCTGCGTCATCTACAGCACTTAAACCCTCTCCTAAACTTTCCTTAACCCCTTCTCTCTGCACACCGCCCTCAGCTTCTCCCAGAAAATTCATTTTCACTTCATCCCTCTGTCTCCTAGGGACTTTCTTCAACACCTTTCTCTGACTGCCACATTTCAACACCGTCTATAAAGCATGAATCAGTCTCAGGGCGTTATAAACTAGCCTGTTGGATGTGCAGAATTATTTGACTGCTGAAAATGGAGCGCTACCTCACTATTATCCGGCTCGGGGCACGTTTCGATCCCTTCTCTGCCTTTGCCTCATCTTATCTCTCTCTTAAGGTCCAACCGCATCTTACTGCATTCATGGTTACACTCAGACCGTTTAACTCCTCTCTCACTAGCCATGTTTCCCTGCTGGGCCTGAAACATCTCTCCAAAGCTGCAAATCAATCACTGTCACTTAGTTTTTCCACCTCCAGCCTCTGTTTCTTTTTTCTAAATTAGGACCACAGACACCTCATGGTAAATTTCCAAACAAATGCAAATATATTGTAATACATGAGTCAGTCTGTCCTGTCTGACGTCTGAACATCGACTTGAAAAAGGATATATTACTGGTTATCTGACACCTTATGCCTGCCCTGCATGGGGAACATCTGCCGAATTCGAATAGAATTGACATCATGCATCTACAAGAGCCTGTAATAAAAATGAAGAATGGTGAGCCATCCACCTGGGTTACATGTCACTCCCATCTCTCTTTCATCTCTTCTGTTTCTCTCTTTACTCTGAACTATCTGACAAAGCCGGAATGACATTTAAAGTGTGTCAAAATGAGAGTATTTGCCCATTCAGGCATATGTGAGAGAAACAGGTAAAGGGGCGGATCGTCCACCTCCAACCAGCCTGTCCAGCTAACGCAATACAAGTCGGCAAACCATGGATATGTACCATTTGTACGCTATCCTTTATTGGGTATGTTAACATCTTAATTTTTTTTTTTCACTTCAACAAGGCTGTGGTTAACATATTTATGTCTAGGCACAAAAAACACTTGGTTATGGTTAGGAAAAGATAATGTTTCTGCTTAAATTTCCCGAGTTTTGGTGCCACATTCATGGTTAGGAAAGCAGAGTCTTGCTAAAAAAACAGCTTGTGTGATTGTTGGTCTTGAACAGTGGTCTGCGGCTTGGCAGCTGTCTCACCAAAGTGACAAAGCCTCAATGACAAAGTCAGGTCATACACATGTAATAAGAACGTCACTTTAGTAATGCTGATAGATGCATATGAAACGTACAAATGTAATGTTTCCGTGGTTTGCATAAACATACAATGCCAACATTTTCTCGCGACAACCAGCCTGATCCAGCTGTGCCTTGTCACTGTGTCATTCTCCAACTCAAGTGAGAGGAGTCTCAGTCCTAGACGAAGACCAGTGGGTGGAGAAGGACTGGTGTGAAGGACTGTCAACAAGCTTTCCCTTGTTTTCTGACCCACAGAAAGCCCCCTCACACTGAAAGGCAGAGAGTTTAAGTTGTGTTTTGAAAATAATCCCTTATTCTCCGTTTCCTCTATCATTTGTTCTCATCATTGCAGGAAATGGGTTCACAGAGGGTGAGCATGAAGAGAAGAGGAAGACAGTGTAGAGAGCCAACTGTGGAACAAACTTTGAGACACATACTTTATCAAAGAAACTCCTCCAGGCAGTGCATGGCTATGAATACAGGCCGTCTTTATCATATTTTCTCCTCTCCTCTTTTCAGAGACCGTATGTGATGAGATCCAGTACACCGGCTAACGAGATCCTTCAGACCTTCCACAAGGTCCATCCCAGCTACCCAGCAGCCTGGTCTTTGGAGATGAAGTCTCTACTTAGAAAGGTAAATGAGCAGCACATGCATAATGCACAGTGCACTCAAGGAGCAGAACCATACATGGTATGCATTTACCTCACATTTTCACGATACCTCCCTCACCACCACTCTTTCACAAAACATACCAAAGGTGACTGCTAAGTAGGGCTGCATTTACTATTTTCATTATTGATAATGTGACAGTTATGTTCTTGATTTATCGTTTGGTCTAACTTTACAAAATGGTGAAAAATATGCATCCTAGTTTGTTCAAGTCTAAGCTGATGTCTTGAAATGTCTTTTTTTGTCAGTCCAAAACCCAAATATTTTCAGTTTAATGAGATATAAAACTGAAAAAGGGAGAAAATCTACATATTTGCAATGCTGAAAACAGCATTTTCTGCCATTTTCGCATGAATACTTACTTTAATAATCTAACAAATAATCAATTAACAAAATAGTTGATTATTTTTCTATTGATCGAGTAATAGATTAGTCGACTTATTGTTGCAACTCCACTGCCGAGGACATGTAAATTGTGAAATTTAGGGAGAAATATAAATATCCTGAGAAGTCAAGGCCATTGAAATCAATAAAGATTCATACAACCAGGCAGCAGCTATGTTTCCATCCCAAAGTGATTTGAATCATTGGGAAATGCGCATTAAAAGAAATATGAATCCTGTGTGTTTCCATTAAATGTATGGACTTTGGTGAAAACTACAAACTCGTGCGAGTTTTCCACAGAACCAGAAACAAAACAGGTCTCGCATTCTTCTTCTTCTACGTTTTCTGGCGGTTGGCAACCAGCTTGTAAATGCATTACTGCCTTCCCTACCCGGAGTGTGGATATCACCATGGAGAGAGGTGCGCTACGTCAGACTTAATTCGAACATAACTGTTTCCATTCCCTTTTTTGTGAATCAACATTTTTTTGAATCAACCAAAACCCGGCTAAAGCGAGCGTATTTCAGTTTGTGCAAATCAGGGGATTTTAATTCAAATTTTGGTGTTTCCATCATAATTTTCCGATGCAATACTTCTAGATGCGCATCTAAACAGGCTGATGGAAACATGGCTAGTGACTGATATTTGCAATGAGTGCAAACATTAAACCACATTATAATATACATATTGTATATGTGTATAGCTTGACACCTAGAAGTAACGCCACACTAAATGATGCCTGAGGATGTAACATGTGGCCCTATTTCTTGGATAAACCAGTAATATTTGGGAGGTTATCCATACTCTATTTATAAATTAGGTGTGCTTGATCACCACCAGAAATGATAGCATCATGTTGCTTCTCTTTATCCTTCGGTAATCTGTAAAAAGGTCTGCCTTTTAGTTTCGTTATGTTTTCCCTATGTGAACTCATGATGGCAGATCCTGATGGTTTTTCTATGCCACTCACTGCATAATGAACAAGTGTTCAGTGTACAGTGACTCACGATTCAAAGTGACTATCCCCTGGAAATGTGTAGTGTACTCCAAACCTCTCTCAAATGTGGTTGGATTAAAGTGTCACAGATGCTTGTTTGAATTAGGTCTGCCACACCCCCAGGATGCACTGTGGTCATTTATTCAAACCTGCACTTGCCAACTTCTCACACTACCTGGTGGCAAAACTCTGATACCACAATACTCTGATAGTAACTGTAAACATTATGCACAAGTTCACTAATTAAAAATCATAAATACCTGGTGAGTAAAGCTTTTCTGGGTGGCCCCTTTGCTACTTTGTCGGAGACAGTCTGCACTTTGCTTTTCATTTTGAAATCTTTATCTCCTGTGGGAGGACAATTATCCATACCTGACACCAGCACTTCACTTGGGCAATCAAGGGGCATCTACAGAATTTTAATCAGGGGTAATTTTCATTGTTGCAGCCATGCTTTGTATACTGGGGTTTTACTTATACATGCAAGTCTCACAGCGTGCAGTGTTGCTTTTGAATTATAATCAGGTATAATCAGTATTCAAAAACAGGAGTTGTTGGTGAAGAATGGTGACTCATGGTGTTACACAGAACACAGGTATATAAATCTAAGTTACAACGTCAACACAAGCTCATAAACACACTTGGCACTGAGACTATTAATATCACTCCTTAATTAGGATAATTTAGATGTATATTACTCAATGTAATTAGCACATTTTGAAATCTTACCAGTCTATTTATAATGAACTGTCACAAGTCTGTTCTTGTTGCAATTAAGCCATTGCAGAGCAAACAGATCCACTGTTGCTGTAGCATTTGGTTTTTGTCTTGGCAGAGATCCACTGCAGTCAAACTGTTGCATTGCTTCGTGCTCAGACTCCTCGTACCTCATTGGCATTCCAGTCGCATGTGTAAACGTGTGTGTTTGTGGGAGAGAAAGGGAGAGAGTGTGTGAGTGTGTGAGAGAGAGAGGGATGTAAAGAAAGTGAGAATGTAAGAGGAGAATCCCATGCTCAATACATTTGTCCTTAATCCTCCACACTTCACATCCCCTTGAATCTTCCTCATCACCATCTGTCTCCTACATGTACCTCATTTTCCTCTCTTTCTGTCCCCTCCTTCTCTCTCCATCTTCTCCTGTCCTAACCTCAATACCTTCCACCCCCAACCCCTTTGTCCCTGTATCCTCATTCTCAGACACATCCTTTAGGGCAAACATGTGCTTGCATCTCAGTGGGACTCAGCCTCCAACTTTTTCGAGCCATGCCTCCCCATGGACAATTGTTCTTACTCTAATCCTTTTGTCTCCCTCAGTTGCTGTGCATAGATGTCCAGAAGCGCATTTCCTGTCTAGCAGAGCTCCAGGATCTGGACTACATGTCAGATGTCAACTGGGACGCTGTGCTCAGCAAACAGCTTCCTCCAGGCTTTATTCCCAATGTGAGTATCAGAAATAAACTGAGCTCTGCCTCAGAATGCTACTCCACAAAATGCTCACATCTGAATAGAGCAGAGTTTTTCTGACATCGGCAAAAAAATATCGCACTGCCTTATGCTTTAAAAACGAAATGACGGTCTGTCACAAAAACTGAACAAATATCATACCATAAATTTGCTATCTGTGGATGTTTTAATCCAACTATGTCAGATCTTTGAAAATGGTAGCGTGATTTTGCTCTTTTAAAAAACATCCTGAAACCCCCATCTCTTCTTACTGTTCTCTCATACTTATTCCCACACCAGTAATTCTCCTGAAGGGAACAAAGATGCAAGGGGAAAAAACATGTAGCCAGAACTACCCACTCCTTATCTAATCTTTTCTAGTCGAGCTGTAGACACCACCCCCTGCTGGGCTGAGCTGGATCTCCCACTGAGCGCGTAGACACCCAGATGCAGAATCAGACAAAGCAGCACATGTGTATACATGCCTCCGAGAAAGCCTCTGCATGTCTACGTGCAGCTCCACATGTGGTCTCTGGATCATTATCATGAGCTGAAGATAACACTTGCATTTAATAATACCACTAGGCAGGAAGTCAAGGTGCTTGGTCGGCAAACTGATGTGCTGTGTTCTCTCTCTGTAGTGTCAGGCTGTGCTGCACTGACTTACTGTGCCCAGTTTCAAAGCTGGTACCTGCACATGAGAAAAGACCACATAAGGTCTGAATATCAGTCAAGAGTCCACCTAACAGTTTGTCTCTCATGCAAATGCCATTAGAAAAAAAGTATTAACAATAGCGGTCTTTGGAGTACTTTAATCAAGCAGCATCAATAACTCTTTTGAAAATACTGTAACCATGGAGCTAATCCGTTTTTCCGCTTTAATGAGCACAGATATGATAGAATCATTCAGCTACACTAATAGGGCTGCAGCTAAAGATTGTATTTATAATCTGCTAATTATTTCTGACTAATCGATTCATTTGAAGTCTGTAACAACTCAGAAAACAGGGAAAAGTGCCTGTCACAGTTTCCTTGAGCTCAATATAACATCTTCAAATGACTTGTTTTGTCTAAACAACCAAAATGTGTTCAGTTTATATCACATGAGACAAAAAAGATGCCACTTTTCACAATTCAGAGGCAGGAACCAGGGATTTTTTTCACTTTTGCTTAAAAGATGACTTTAATGGATAACGATTATAACTGTCTTTGTTGCTCTCTTGCACAGATGCACTGATTAAGCAATACAAAAACTATCCTGTATTGTTTAAGTCGAGGAACAAGGTGACAATAACCGTCACTCCTTAGTGCCAGAGCTGAATACATGCAGAATAATGACTGCTGCAAGAGAATAATGACTAAATGACTTTATCTAATTCTAAGTCTATCGCAACTGCAGAGCAGCGGGTATCCCCAGCGGCCAGGCTGGCACAGCAGAGGAAAAACACAGAGGATCGATGGGGAATTGAGAGTGTCTCTCTCTCTAATTATAGGCCTACCCTCTGTCTTTACTCCCTCATAGACCATTAATGTCTGAGCAGGAAGAGAGAACTCAGTCCTAATGTTTTGTTACCTGACTTACCAACATTCAGTCTGCTTTGACTTTATTGGCTTACTGCCGTTTGAGCCTTAAACTTTCCTGGAGAGTAAAAGCTTTCATTGTAACCTATAGTTCATACCAGAGGTGGGTCCAAGCCACTGTTTTGCAGATCACAAATAAGTCTTTGCACTCAAGTCCCAAGTCAAGTCCCAAGTCCTAAACTCTGAGTTTCAAGTCCTAACAAGTCATAATGCACTCTTAACTAAATGTAATGCCATTTTAACAACAACAGCAATAATAGTAATAGTAATATAATATATTAACAGATCACAGATTTTTATATTTACCTTTTGGGAATGTTTCCCTTTAATGACATGACAGCTATAGATTGAAAGGAAATTTGGGATTGAGAAGGGGAATGACATGGAGCAAAGAGCTGTGGGCTAAAATTGAACCCTGGCTGCAGCCATGGCCTCAGCCTATATCGGTTGCACACTAAATAGGTTTTTAAATTTGTAATTATTTGTTAAAAGTATGTTTATGTGTGTAATTTTTTCCGCGCGTTTTGCATATTGCGGTCATTTTCTGCGTAGTCTTTATACATAAATAAAATTATCTTTGGTATAATTTTTTTTCCATCTGGTGCACTGTGACTTTTTTTTTAAATGTTTATCTCCTGCAACTTGACTGGATGCTGTCAGATTGGTTCAGTTAAAGTGGATTTGGGGACTTGAGCATTGACTTGCTGTGAATGAATTAGTTAATGTTAGTTGATTCAGGGATTGAATTTAATCTTTGGGCTTGGGGGAATGGTATCAAGTGTTTTCCAGTCAAAAGGCCCAAGTATAAGTGATGACACAAGTCATTGGTGTTAAAGACCCAGCTGAGAAGTCTTTTTTGATTTTGTCAAGTTGAGTCTAAAGTCTTAAAATATGTGACTCAATTCTGACTTGTGTCCAAGTTATGTGACTTGTGTCCACACCTCTGGTCCATACTGACTCATTTATAAGTAATCTCAAGTATATTGCAGAAACACTATTACAATGACTGCCACCAAAAGTGTTGTCAAAGTCAAAACCATGGTCATATCACAGTTTTCTTACTTTTACATGTAAACTTGGCATTTAGGGTATGTCTCAGTGTTTGACTATCAATAATTTTTAATGTTTGAACCCATGGATCTGTTGTTGTTGTTGTCGTCTGTTTAATGTATGCTTGTATCTTTCTGTGTCTTTATAGAGGCGAAGACTAAACTGTGACCCCACGTTTGAGCTGGAGGAAATGATCCTGGAGTCCAAACCGCTTCACAAGAAGAAGAAAAGGCTTGCTAGAAAAACCAAGGAGCAAGGATCTGATGGGTCCCCACAGGTAAGGCTTTCAGCTAGACACATTAAATGCAGTAATTGACCATACAAGAAAATGATAAAAAGGCTTTGTTCCAAAATGAGACACCGACTACTGGGAAAGAATAGCGAGGAAATACTGTTCGAGAGACAGTGGAAGACTTGACGTTGATTTGATTTGATAGATCATCTATAATTTAGATTTAATGTGCTTTTTTCGCCACCAGTGTTCCTCAAAAACATGTTTAAATATATATTTAAATTCATTTTGGTTTATCCTGTCCTTAGTGGGTCATATATGCCTCTTAAAGGTGTCTCTCTCTCAGTGCTCATCATTATTCATTAAAGAAAACTGACCGCTGGTTCCATTTGGCCCCGTTACAGGTAGTAAGTTGCTCCTTAGTTTGTCTTTTAAATGTGTCTGGAGTGCTATTAAGAACGTTGAGGACACATTTTAGAGCTCTGTCCTCCCTCACCTTCATCAGAATAAATGGGCCGTCTGCCTGATGGGTGTATGGGGAAGACAAAGAATGCAATCACCTAGCTCTAGTCTGTTATACTCTCACTCCATTCACATAAATCAGCTGTTGTCCTCTGGGTGTTTACACAAAACAGAGAGGAAATCACTAAAAGGTTAATTTGATCACCCGGTCAAGTGAGACGTGGGGGGAAACACACACACATCATACACCCATAAACACGATGATAGTGAAAGCAGATAGGCACGATAGGCAGCAGAGATTTTATTTTTGCTCAAGTGCAGCAGTGGGACCTGATCAGTGATGTCATTTTTGTTTCAAGGATAACTGCAGCTCAAACGACCTTAAGTCATTTGTGTTTATTTTATCTTAAGTCCAAATAGGACCTTCGTTGTGAAAAAGCTCTGAGCAAACCCTAAAACATTGTTTATGACAAGAAAGGTCGGGTTGACATGTTATTATGCGAGGGCTTTTTCAGGGGCTATATACACAACTGGTATTCTGAAAATAAATATTGCAGGGGCCGACTTTTAGGGGCATTTCCAAGTGATATTATTGTTGGAGCTGCTGTCAATGGCAATGACAATTGGATCGCTTTCCATTTTGCCCAGAGCCTAGCAGCTACTAAAGTTTCCACATTTACTTCAGTTGTCATTTCCGCCACTGGGGATAGTGACTGCAATGAACTTCCATTCAGTGTTTCCCATACAGTGCTTTATCTGTTCATCAGACCACGAATGAGACAAGAATTAGCTAGCTAGCTCACCCTGAGGTCCCTCCACCTCATTCCCAGAAGACAGAGACGGATCGTCAGTTAGCAGCTTTAGCAACTTGAATTAAGACAGTGTAAACCCCAGCGCCGGGAATAACTGCATGCCAGTGGCTAACAGCGGTACTGGGTTTAACTTGTATAGCAGCAGCAGCAGAAAGTTTGCTAAATCGGTGGGGAATTGGGGCAGTCCAGGATCAGACCCCTTTGTGCTAAGGTTTGCCATAGCCACTAACTGAGGGTCAGTGTCTCCCCCCACAAACAAAATGTAACTCTGTGGGAACCAATGGCTTTTGAGATAGCTACAGAAAGCTATCAGAGAAAACAAAAGTGCTATCCCCTTCCTGTTTTAAGTGTGCAATGGTTGGCACACTTCCTTTGTGCTGTACATCAAGCCTTCATTTTCCAGAGAGATCATACACAGTGGCAGACCAAAATGCAAAGTGAGGCTCATAGGAAACCAATTTAAATGTCTATGGTGTCATTATACAAACGATATTACATTCTGCAATCAACATATGTCATAATGATAAGTTAAAGCAAACATGTCAATTTTAACTTATTTACTTTAAATATCTGATGTTTTTTATATATATGGATCTTTGGTCTGCTAATCATATACATTTTCTCCATTCAGTGAAATGGATTTTAGTCAGGAACACTTAAGTCAAAGAAAACTTAATTTCCATTTGCAGTATTATATTTATCAGTATGGCTCTGTTTTGGGGCCTATCAGCTTTTCCTAGGCCATACAGAAAGCCTCTTCCACACACCTATGTGAGGAGCCTAAGGCAGAGAGAGCAAACCTCTCTGCCCTTCCATGTGCAAATGAGGAAAGCCTTAAGGCAGAGAGAGAGCATACCTCTGCCCTTCAACTCGCTTATGTGGAAAGCCTTACGGCAGAGAGAACACACCACTGTGCCCTTCCACGTGCAAACTAGGAAAACCTGAGGCAGGGAGCGCAAACCTCCCTGCCCTTCCATGAAACATGGACTACATGAAAAGCTTAAGGCAGGGAGATCAGCAGCAAAGACACCCTGGGAGCAGACCTTAACCAGCATTAATGACAAACAGTAATGACATTGATAAGTCAGACACAACATGAAAAGGAGGAGATGGGATGGAGGGGGGTTGCAAAGTGGCTTGCAGAGGAAGCAGCAACAGTAGGCAGGCCAGCACAGTTTAAATAGGGCGCCCTGAATGAGATTTGCCAATTGGTTGCATAGAAAGGAATCATATGATCTATCAGCTGACTCCCTTCAGTCAGTTGATTGGCTGTTGGCGATCAGCTGAAGTAGCTGGGATGCGAGCTGAGCTTGACGTCAGGTCCTGCCTGAACTAACGCTATACTCAATTTGATAACAAAATGATGGTAAAATGTCATTTGTCACCACTGACCATGCTACAGTTTTTGACCATTGCCACACTACTTGCTGGAGATCAAACAGCTAATAAAACAATGAGTCAGTCATATGTAAATGTGTAAGAGATACAGTAAATGGTAGATTTACTGAAGCCAGCTTTCTACACTAAAACACGTTCCTGCTACAAGAAACATTTTAGTAACGAACCCTTAAAACAGATCAGTTCTGTTTATCAGAAGAAATGTATTTACAGTACAGGAGTCAATCGATTGGTACAACAGGGAAGTGACACACTGCAGTCTAGGCTTCTGTCCAGTTTTCAGTCTTTAGATTTTTCAATTTCGACAGTAAAAGCTCAGAGAGATCCAGCAGTAATGATAAGAAAATAAGTCATAGTTTCATTTGTGTGCTTTTACCAGTAATAGAGCAGCAGTGTGTGTTGTGTGTGTGGGTGTGTTGGGAAACTTGCCTTCACACATATGGTATGCACAGACAACCTACGCACACAACCTAACCTACGGCACTCACACATACAACCTATGTCATTACAAAGTCAATAAGTTTGGACCCTCTCCCACTGTTTGGCACATTAGACCAGTTTATGGGACTCTTTTCTAATAGGAGTGAAGCAATTTGTGTGGTCTAGACTCCAGAGCAAATACCTTGCCAGCTCGCAATAAGAAGTCAGTGCCGGTCCAAAGTGTGCCATGTTTTATGAAAGCTGACAGCTGCTTGTGGAGACCTGCCTGTGTGTATATATCGGTGATATCTCACTGTGCAGCCAGGCAACATTCGTCATCCCTTGGCCCATTCGGACAAAGAGAAAGTCCCCTATTCTAATGAAATAATCACAGTAGCCATTACGTGAGACATTTGTTAAGTTTATGGACACAGATGACAGTGTATGGTCAGACTAAGGAAAAGAAATTGTACTCTTTGTACTCTTGTGGCTTGCATTCTCTAATAAAATCCCCTCATTTATTCTGGTATCACAGGAAACATTTGATTGATGCAGCTTGACTGAAACTAGCGTTAATCATATTCAGCTGTATTTGCTTGACAGATTTTCCACATGAAAACAAATAAAGCCAATTTAAACAAGTACTACAGTTAATCTTATACTGTAGGAGGTTTTATGAAGATCACTGAAGTGTATTAGTAGTAAATAGTGGTAATGGCTGTGGTTTGCTGAACTCTATTGAAAAGATGAAAAACAGAGGACTACAGAAAGAAAGTCCTGTTAAACTCCCTCTCTGAAGCCATGCCATTTTAGCACCATAACACCAGCCAACAGAGTCTGGGGCATTGTTCCTCCCTTTTAAAGCACCTTCCATAAACCTCAGTGTCACTTTTGATGGTGTTTTTGATAAACAAGTTTGTTCAGAAAATTGAGCTCTTGGTAAAGAACTATATTCAAAATTGGAGTCGTATTTTTTCTGGACAGCCTGGAGAGAACTTCCAAGCCTGCGATTAAATCTCCCCATCTTTTTTTTTTTTTAAGATGTTCTAGTCTGTAATTAGCCTTGGGTGTATCTCCTGTTGTGTGGATCCTGTTCAGTAAGCGGTGGCCAAAGTGTCTTGCATCTAAAGGCCCTATCCCATTTCTCATTTTTACCCCTACCTCTTGTTTTCTAGTGCCACCTTGTCCCTTGGAACAGAGTTACAAGGGGTAGTGGTTAAAATATTCCACTATGAAATGGGAAAACCCTTTACGACTGTAATATGTCATTGGTTGTCATTGATAGTTGTCATAAACACACAAGCCTTGGCTAGGTGCCCCGATCAGTTGGGGTTCAGTCCCTTGCTCAAGGGCACCTCTGCAGTGCCCAGGAGGCGAAATGGCACCTCTCCAGCTGCCAGTCCATGCTCCATACTTGGTCCACAGGGGGGATTTGAAATGGTGACTCCCCAGTTCCTTAGCCAAGCCCCTATGGACTGAGCTCCTGCCGCCCCTAATTCCAGACATTGTGAATATGCTGTCCTCTGCTGTGATGATTTCATTTGCATGTTTTTTGTACCTCACTAAATTTCTTGCATATAGGTGTGTGTATGAATCATTGCTGAAACCATAAATGGCAACCGGCTAATCAGCTAAATACCACCCTGTCACTCCTCCACTTTTAGGAGGAACCATGCACTCAAATACACCTTTCACCTTTCGTTCAAAATGATTTGTTTGACTGGCACACTATTCAAGTAGTCCAGTTTTGCAGCGCATGCTGGTCTGTCTGTCTATCAGGGAGAATACTCATTTTACTGTCTATAAATATCAGCTTGTGTTTGTGCAGCACTTTTCCATATCCATTTACAAAGGACCTGTGGGGCCACTTGTGATGGATGCATGTGAAAGAAACTGAGTGCTTGATGTGTGTGTGCATGTGAAAGCGAGAGAGGGAGATAGTCTGTGCAGCCT